TCTAGGGGACAGTGCTCATCTCCATTTCAAAGCCGAAGAGCCAGCGCTGTCCAAAGACGTCTCCGTGGTCATGTGGCCGGCAGGACTTAACGCCGAAGGCGCACAGAACGCTGTTACCTTCCCACCAAAGGTAGTTCCTATTTTTCTACTTGCATTTTTTACGTGCTTTCAAACTGCTAGGTTGGCAGAAGCTGGGACAAGGAACGGGAGCTCCCTCCATTATGGGGCGCTAAGGATTCGAACCGCCGAACTGCCGATCTTTCTGATCGACAAGCTCAGCGTCTTAGCCACTGAGCCACTGCGTCCCTTTATGGATTTCTAGTTCAGAGCAAATCCTAATAAAAAACTGTTTGTACAGAGTCGTGTTGAGGCTTATAAATTTTTTTCCCAGATAACCCTGGACCCTTTGCCAAAGCGATAAAAGCACTGCGTGGGTTTTTTTTTCTTAGAAACATATAAATTATTTTATTTACAAAGCCATGTTACAAATAATAATAATAACAATAATAATAAAGCAAAACCAACAAATAACAAAAGAAATACAATCGCCCGCTAGAGAATATCTCCAGGCCTGGTGCTCAAACCATGGCAGTATCGATCAGATACATACATTTGTTCTTTATTTTATTTTTTTTCCCTTTTCTCAAAACTGTAAAAGTCATAAATTTGTACTATTTACATCTACTTTCAACACTTACAATTATCACAAGCATGGAATGAGGTTCTCTCTCTGGGATACTGCTAATACAATAAAAGGTGCAGGAGGAGGAAAATAGTGTTACAAAATATGGGTCCGTAGAAAAAAGAAAATCCACTGTACACATATGGCAAATTTTTTTATTTCTTTTTAGAACGATTGGACGTGCTTATCTTCAAAAGTCTTCTTGAAAAGGATTCTAAAATCTGTAGTAGGAAAGCATAATTGAGGAGGTGCAAATTTCACTTCTGTGCAACAGTTTTGTTTTTTTTTTTAAATTTATTTCCCATGACCAACCAGCTATGTAAAACCCAAAGTTTTCGTTTAAAGTGCCATGGGTAAAACAGCGTAACAAAATAGAAGGTGTAGATAGAAAAAATTTTCTTCTTCTTTTTTTTTTTTAAACAAGAGTTCACTGAGTATCGTCAATAATAGAATATGCTGTATAAACTATTCTCTACAAAGGTTGATCGGCCCTATGTACAATTGTTAACATTGATACAAAAGAAGGCATAAATAGTTATCCAAGTTGCTTTTTTAAATTTAATTTATTTATTTTTTTTAAATATGGCTGACGGGGCCTATGCATTGCGTTTATGTGTTAACGACCAAAGCTTCGGTGGCTCTATTGCTGGAAATCACGTCTTCTGGAAATTTGGGTGTGTAGAAGGGAAAATGGTTGGAAAGGGGGGGGGGAACATTTTAACAAATGCTACATTACAATACAGGCTGGCCCAGTCCATTTCTATTTTTAAAACCACATTATATAACATGTTTCCCCGAAAATAAGACAGAGTCTTATTTTCTTTTGACCCCAGAAATAAGTGCTTGGCCTTATTTTCGGGGAGGTCTTATTATTTTTGAAGTGCAGGAGACGGCGAGCGTCGTCACCTCATGGCTGCTGCTGTGTTGCAATATTTTCGGGGAGGGCTTATTATTTTTGAAGTGCAGGAGACGGCGAGCGTCGTCACCTCATGGCTGCTGCTGTGTTGCAATATTTTCGGGGAGGGCTTATTATTTTTGAAGTGCAGGAGACGGCGAGCGTGGTCACCTCATGGCTGCTGCTGTGTTGCAATATTTTCGGGGAGGGCTTATTT